TCCCTCTTACCATCTGCTCCAAGGGTGATTTAATCTTCTAAGGATGAATCTGACCTTTGCATCTTTGTTTTGGAGCCTCCCCATCCCTTCTGTTGTCCTGGTCTGCTGTCCCTGACACCAGCAGTGCATCCAATGAGCAGGTGGTTGAGGAGGGATGGGAGTTTACATGGATTTACTCCATAAAATACCTTTTATGGTGTTGTTGGAAGGCAGACAGGGATTTCCTAACCCCATAAAACCTCAAAGCTTGGAGAAGCCTGAGGTTTTGGGCTTCTGGTTTCTAGCCAAGAAAGGGGAAAGTGGTGTCAGTGGGTGCTGTGAGGGCCTGGAGGATTCCCTGGGGGTGATGATGGTGTTGGGGTGCTCATGCCTGGTCACCTCTTCCACATCCACACTGTCAATATCTTTCAGGAGGATACCAAAGCAACCCTCCACCAAGGGCCATCTGTGGGGTTGAAGGACTCTTCAAGGTGAGTTGAGTCACTTTCTGGATGAGTTTTGCCTTCAGAACTGGAAGTTTGTCCTTTCTCTTCTTCCCATGGGACTGCAGAGCCCTAATTTTCCTCCTGCATACCCAAGACCAGTAGTTGATACCTTCAATGAGCATCTTGTCCATGTCCTGGTGTCTCCAATGACCTTAAAGCTTGTCAAAACCAACTCGAGTGGAATTGGAAGCCCAATCCTAGGGTTTGAGGGTGGAGAAGGAAGCTCCTGGCCCCGTCCAACCTCCCCAAGGATGCTCAAGTCAGCAGGGTGTGATCATTCAGGTGCACATACCTCCATAAATCTAGAGGTGGGGAAGTGCTTTGGGAACAACCACCCTCCCAAATCCTGGGAAAAGGCTGTTCTTTCCCTCACCTCATGCTAGATCTGGGCAGAGATAGGAAGCTGAAACCATAGAGTTGGTCCTTAGCAGGTTAATCCTCTTTGCCTCTTGAAAATTAGCACTGAGAGGCCTCTAATAAGACTTTTTGGGAAGGAGCCATTCCCAAAAAATGGCAGGACTTTGCCTTCTGAGTCATGGATCTGCTGCTGCTAATGAGATTGGAGGGGCTGAGCATGTTCTGCAGGGCTTTTTGCCCTAATGAGTTGAGTGGAGGTTGTATAACTCTGTTCCTGCTGCATGGAAAAACCATCCAGCTCTTGGTTTCGGTTTTTTTTTGGGGAGCTTGTCTCCATCCCAAGGTACCTCAAAGGCTTTCCTGGTCCCTGTGTGGCTCTGATATCCTACAGATGGTAACTAAGTACCAGCCTCAATTAATGAATAGAAAGGGACCAAAATTCCCACTTTCTGGTGGGGAAAATATGTGATGTCTTGGCTAAAAGCAGGAATTGTGACTCTTCCCTCCTTGGGCTCAGCTGGAAGTGTAGGAGAGCCATCACCATCTTCTTTGGGGGGAGAAATTTGGATTCACAGCTCCTTCCTGGGTAGGATCAGCTGTGCTTCCAAGCAAGGCCTGCTGAGGAGTGGGAAAGGCAGGGAATGGGGCTGATCCATGAGACCTGAGCTCAGCTCCAGGCTTGGACTGGAGGACTTGGTTGAGAGGTGGCAATGACCCAGAAAGGACAGACACAGGGTTTTCTGTGGCCAAGAGGACACCACTACCTCAACCCCAGACTCAGGGAATCATTTAGGTCAGAGAAGATCTCCAATATCATCAAGTCCAACCATTAACCCAACAATGCCAAAGCTACCACTAAACCATGTCCCTAAGCATCACATCTAGAGGCTTTTTGAACAGTTCCAGGGATGGTGATTCCACCAGTGACCTGGATGACCTGTTCCAATGCTTGACCATCCTTTCAGGGAAGAATATTCCTAAAATCCACCCTAAATCTACCCTGTGGAGACATAGGCTCAGCTTGGTTTAGACTTTGTGCTTCCTATTACCTCTTTGATCTCTTGCTTTGCTTTATGGAGCATGAGCAACTCAATAAGGAGGTTCCCAACCCTCTGCCTGGCTTGGAGAAGACTTGGGAGAAAGTATTTTATAGGGATAGGTTGGTGGTTTATACAAACTCCCCCAGGAATCCCCAAAATTCACCTGATCTGACCAGGGAAACATTCTGGCGTTCCCCATCCATGTGGTGATGGAGGTCATGGATCAGGACAGTCCTTGTCCTGAAGCTTGTTGCATTGGTGGTTTCCTTCCTGTTCTTCCCTTCCTATCCCATTCCACCAATGTTCAGGCTGTTTTCTTGGGATGGGAGAGCTTGTCCCCACCATCCCAGGAGATGTGTCTCACCACAAGGTCTCTTTCTCCATGATGCTCAACCTGATGCCACCTCTGTCCCGTGTGCTGCTGGTGCTGCCAAACCTTGCAAACCTGTTCCCTTGGGAATGTTTCCTTGGTATCTCCCTCATTTGGTCTGGAGACCTTGTTGTTCTGCTCATTTGAGTTTCCTCATCCCATAAAATGCATGATGGAACCAATCATTGCTGCTATGGGATATCTCCGTCTATCACAATTCCTGTGGTGCTGTTGGAGGGAAGCAAGGGCTTGCTTGGGAGTAATTCCCTAATTTTCCATGGAAGGGGTAGAGGTAGGTGCTCATCAAGTGGCTGTGATGTTGTTGCAGGTCCCCGGGAAAATCCCAGGAAGCAGGACCTGCAGTGGGACAGCAGCTCTCAGCCACCAAGGATGAAATTGGGGTAGGAAAACCGAGGGAACTATCACTCCATGGACCTAATCCTGCATGGAACATATTCTTTAGCATCTCCATTCACTTGGGCTTTGGGATGATCTGTCTTCTTGCCCAACTTCAATGCTTCTTCCCTTCTGGCTGCTTCCTGCAGATTCCAAAGCCAAGTGATGATGTTGCTGGTAAGGTTGCATTTCCCTCTGGAGATCCTGAGACTTTGGAGATGGATGTGACACTCCCAGCCATGAGGAAGGGTGAGGAGAAGGAGTTGGATCCACCTGTCCCACAGCAGCAAGGGCATGCCCAAGCCCCAAAAAGGAAAAGAGAGGGGAAGCAAGGGCAGAAGAAGGAAGAGAAGGAGGAAAAGGGATTGAAGATAAAAAGAGGGAGGAAGAAGGATAAATATGAGGAAAATCCTGGGGATATGACGAAAGGAATTGAGGAGGAAGGTGGTGGTAAGAATGGGGCAGGGGGAAGGAGTAGAGCCGAGAAAGGGGGAAGAAAGAGCTCCCAGGGACAGAGTAAGGGAAGGAAAAAAACAGAGAAGGGCAAAGCTAAGAAGCCCAAGAAAGTGAAAGTGAAGGAAAAGGGGAGGAAGAAGAGAATAAAGAAGGAAAAGATGGAAGAGGAGCAAGAGATGAAGATGGATGAGGAGGAGGGAGAGAATGGAGTGGGAGGTGAACTGGAGGGGAGAGATGGGGTGGGAAAGCAAAGTGGAGATGGAAAAGGAGTAAAGCAGGAGGAGGAGGTGGATGAGAAAGAGGATAGAGAATTGGGAGAGGCACAAAAGGTAGAGGTGGGGCAGGAGG